GGGGTAATCGGGATGGGAGTGTCAGAGACAGTGCGATTGGCACAGGACAGAGCAGGGTTTAGGGTTGTTGTACATAGGGTCGCTATGAGTCGCAAACGACTCGACAAACGACTCGACGGCACAAAACAACAATAACAACAGCAGCAGCATTTTGCTTGCACGTGATATTCATGATACTGTTTGATAGTTTTCACATCCAGTTGGATCACCCTTCTTGGGAATGGGAACAAATAAGGACCTCTTCCAATTTGTTGCCCAGACACTTGTCCTCTTAAATTTCCTAGCATAGACTGGTGAATGCTTCCAAGGTTGCTTCTGTTAACTGAAATAAATTAATTGGTATCTCATAGATCCCTGGGCCCTTACTTTTTGCCAGTGCCTTCAATGTAGCTTATACCTCCTCCTTCATTACCATTGGGTCCTGCTCATACAGTACTTTCTGGAATTCTTCAGTGTCAATCAATTCTTTCTAGCACAGGAATTCTGGACCAGGGATTCTCCATCTTCTTTTGATGCTTTTTGGGTAATTCAACAGTCATTCTTTCAATATTCTAGTACAAGTCTTAAATTTAGGTTCTTTCAGCTTAAGAAATGCACAGCAAGCTCTTCTCTTTTTTACTCTCCAATTCCAGCTCTCCGCACAGCCCCAATTATCATTAATGCAATCAAGATGCTTTAATACTTGGTGACCCGAATGCAAAAGTGGTAAGCCATAAAGAAGGAATAGTAGTTAGAAAATAGGGGCTTGGAGATAGAAATGAGGCTGGAAATAGAATGACTGAATTTTGTATTTACAACGATTCATAATTGAAAATATCTTTTTGAAAAGACACAAATGACGACTTTATACATGGCTCTCACCTGATGGGCTGCACAGGAATCAGACTGACTACATTTGTGGTAAAAATCATTGCAGAAGCTCAGCATTGGTAGTCAAATCTAGGCCAGGGGCTGACCGTGGTCCAGATCATCAGTTACTCATATTCAAGCTCAAACTGTGGTCGAACAAAATTAAAGTAAGTCCACAGGAACCAAGAC